AATTAAGTTAAATTACATAAAATTAAATTCTTTTTGACAATAAAATTGTTAATTTTATTATCTATTGATTTTCCTAATTCGGTGTTAATTTGTTTTGGGTGCTTCTCATCATAAAAATTTCATAAAAAAACATAAAGAGAATAAATTCGAGCTAACAAATAAATTTCTTGGAGATTTCCATTTCGTTGGCTTTGCCAAACGCCAAGAGAATGTCGCTTAGTTGCCGCCTTAAATTGTTTGTGCCACCCCAAAACCACCACGACCACTTTTGATGCCTCATTTTTATGGCTTGTACAGTTGCAGCTGCTCGAGGTAGTAAATTATGGTGTCGTGCAAAAATTTCCCGCTTATAATGAGAGGGAGTGCTCCGAAACCCCTTTGGTATCGTTCTGGCCAGGATGGCCTATACGTAATTACGTGTAGGCCCCAGCGTTAAATACTGACCAATGTCTAGCCAAGGACAGAGTGAACTCTCATTGTCGAGCCGAGTCATAAAAATTCCGCAATGTTGATTTTAATATAACCCTAATGGGGTGCAATAAAAATGTAGTGGCAGCCAGAAGGAATAGTTGCAGTTGATGGTATCTCCACTGGCACGGAATACAATTACGCGTATTACATTTTTTAATAAAGTTCAGTTAAGGTCCATAACCACTGCTCTTGAGAAATAAATGGACAAATAAAATTTACAAAGGACACAAAGAATGATACAAGTCGTATTTATAATTTATTTGAAAATCCAATTCTTTGTTGAATTTTGTCAGTTCTCCGATCGTTCATATGGAAGCTCTATGATAAATAAGACAATTGAGAAAGAAATTGTAACTTCTCTAATTTTCATTTTTTTAAAATTCTTTTGGACATAGTATAGATTTAATAGTTTAGATTTAAGCATTTATTATATTTATATCGGAAAATTATATCATATAGCTGCCATATGAATGATTGAATAATTAATAAATTAATAAATATGTTTAAAATGTTTTAGATTTAATTTAAAAAATATTTAATTTTTGCAATACCTGCAAGGGTATATAAAATTCAGTCGAACACTCGAAAATATCAATAAATCTACTGGACGCCTGAGAAAACGCCTCATGAAAAGTTTTCCAATATTACGGCCATTGTAAATAAACTGGTCAAGGTAAAACTGGTGAAAAAGAGTTCATTAATATTTTCCTCATATGGGATGGCATATAAGGGCGGACATTAAAAGTTTTTTACATGGGCATTCCTATGTGTATTTATTTGTGTGTTTAAATAGCAACAAAAAATAAGTCGAGCGAACCAACAATGTGATACACTCCACAATAATGGATTGTAAACTAATGATTATGTAAAATAAACGAATAATTTTCTAGCCAAAAATTAATCATTTTTTATTAAAGTTGTAAAGTACTTTAGAAGACATCCCTCCAATAAAAACTTAATTCGTCCAAATCTTTTTTTACAATTTCACAGAGTATTGCAAGTTTTTTAATTTCGGATCACGGCTGCTTTTGGCCTGTGAAAAAAAAATAAAAAAAAAGAGTTATGACCTGGCATCTAGAACAAGTTAGGCCAAAATATTTTTCCTGTAAGAAGTGTAAACATGTTCGCAGGTGTCAAAAGCAGAGCCAAATTTTTAGCGGCAGGAAAATGGCCATTTAATTAGTTTTCCGTTTTTGGTTACTGACATCCCCCCTTAACAAAGCCCATAAACAAGTTTCAATTTATTTAAGCGAAATCTCGGGCATATTGAGAGTTTGGCAGAAATAAATAAAATGTAATCAAGCAGATGGCTGCTTTCCCTTTATTTTATCCTGCGGTTTATGGTTAGCCTCATCTGTGAAATTAAAGTGATTTTCATGAATTTTTACCTTGTTCGATCGAGCTAAAAAGTTTGCGGCTTGCAGCCTTCATTTAGCCTTATTCTCTATTTTTTTAACTCCTTTTGGAAAGTTAATTTCTCTGTTTTATTACTAAACATAAAGGCAAAAGGGGGTTGAATGGAATTTCCTTCACCTACTGAGGAACTTGTCATATGGCTGTGGGCTTATCCAAAATATTTACTTTGACCTGTGAAAACTTTTAGGGCATCGTTGAGGTCTGGGCCACCTCCTTTTAAAAGGTCAGTTAGCTGCCAAAAAGGCTATGCCGAAAAGTTCAGTAAAAGTGAAGGGACACAAAAAGAGGGTGGTTTGGTTTGATAGATGGAAAAAAGAAGGGGAAACCCAAAAAAAAAAAATATTTTGCGGAACTAACGAGTTAAAAGAAGAAAGGTAAAATTACAAAAATATTATTATTGTTTTGGTTACCCCCAGTTTTTGCTTATGCAAGGTTCAAGTGGTAATAAGTTGTTTTGGTATATATAGATTTTATTGCGGGTTTTTAAGAGTAATATACAGCTAACAAAAGTTGGAATTTCTAGGCCAAGCCTGGTTCGGTGTATTCATATGATACAAAATCGGTTTACCGGCGGATTGTTGAGATAAATAGCTTGTTAGATTTGTCAATGTTCCATCTTCATAATAAAAAGTTTCGGTTTTTAAAGTGCAATTTAAAACTTTATTGAGGTCTAGCATCTCTGTAAATTAGGAACCCAATTCTCCCATTTGCTGAACCATGGAGTCCAAAAAATCCGGGTTTAATTTGTATTAACAGTGCCACACAGTTTAAGACACAACTAATTGCACCCGACCTTAGCTTTAAAAACACCTCTTAACGAGGTTGAAAAAACGTAACGATCGCACCTTCGTTGCATAAAATTTGTGATACTGAATTTCCTGACGAAAAATTATTAAACATTTTTTCTATTCATCACGCTCCTACAAAGCTTTTTTTCTACACAGGCATATTTTTGTTGCAGTGTACCGAATAACAAAATTATAGTTTATTATAGTTTTATACTTTTAGCGTTAGGAAGAAAATTGAAAAAAAATTTAAACATAGAAAAACATAAAATAAAACCAAAACGGAAATGTTTTAAAAATTTATTTGCTTCCACGAAGTCATAAACTTCTTTTATTACGAAAATTGATAACCGAAATTTTCCCTTCCGAAAAAGTATAGTTGCGCATACAAATGCTTTAATAAAATGTGCTATTTTGCTAAAAAGGTTAAGAATTGATTAATAACTCTTTTTATTAGCTGAAGCTCAACCTAGCGGTCATAGTTTTACATGGTTTATGCCGTGGCTAAAAGCTTGAATCCGTATGAAAGCACAAAACTGCTTTTTCTTTACAAATTTGTACGGCCTATGTAGATACTCTCAAAATTTTTGGTTAAAAAAGTGTAACTAACAAAATTATATATGCTTGTATAAACTTGAATAGCTAGTTATTAAACGTACCGGAACAAGATGAACAAGTTGTTTAATTAATTGCATAATATGTGTACCAATGTCCCAAATTGACCTCGAAATTGTTACTTTTACTCGCAAATTACCCCTTATTAACCACGAAAATATAAAATTCATTTAGTTAACAAACGAAATTAAAATGCTATGTCACAAAAAGTAAATATTTTCATGTCACTCACGCATATTAAAATTACCCATTACCCATACCCGTAAAAATAAGGAGAATATAATTGCATTTTCATGGCGCTGCCAATGAATCACACAATACTGAGCGAATTTCGACAATGAAAATCAAATTATTAACACAATTTCAGGAACTGAAAGAGAAGGAAGTCAGTTAGGCTTCATAGCCTAGGTTTGTTCATTCATAAATTGGTCTTGTGGCGAAGGAACGAGGGCCTACTAAGCTCAGGTGCTCTGCAAGCTTTTAATTGCCTAATTGTTTGGGAGTTGAAGGACCATTGAGATAACAGACCCAGGATAATAGAAAGGAACAAGTCTTATAGTCTAATTTATAGTCTAAGTTGCATTCCGAGTTCAAAAACTAAACAACAGAAGTGCAATGCAATTTTAATCTTTTTATTGACTTTAAAGAGTTTTTAATATTAAGGAGGTTTAGATAAGACTCACAAGAAGCCAGTAAACAATAAAATAGTTCTTTTTTTTAATTTGTTGGGCTTTAAATAAGACAAAATAATAATTAGGTACATATCTTTAAAGGAGATGTTGATTTTGTATTAAATTTGTTCTTAAACAAATGCAAAAACATTTCTCATGAGGATATGTTAATGTTTTATTCAATTTGTTCTTAAATAAATGCATTAAGGCAGTACAATCATTTTTTGCGTTAAAACTAATTATTATGATTAAAAAATTGTTCTTTATTAATTGCTTAAATGAAAAATAGCTTCAATTTATATTTTTTTTAATTAGCTTAATTATTATTTACGTTTATTTTTATCACAAGTTAGGTTAAAAAAAGTGTAAGCTATGTTATGGTTATATCGCTTTTTGTATATCTTTTCCAAACCTCCTTTGTAAAAGCTATAGAACAAACAAATTACTAATTACATTACTTATTAAAAAAGTAAAAGTCAGACAAAACTATTTTAATTAAATGCCTAAGTAACTAATTACATAATCTATCTTTACTCATTTTGTCATTCCTCTCCCATTTGTTTATTCTGTCTAATATGTGTTTCGGCTCGCTAACCACATTGGACATCAAGTATCTGCTGGCTTTGGCAGTGATGTATGTATTTGCCGAATCGGCTTAGCGCGACCTTGGCAGCCGAAATCGCTGGCGAATAGTGGTGTAATGCAATCAATTACTTAATAATCCCCAAGCAAAACTTTGCATAAACAAAACCGCTTGGCGAAAGAATAAAGGGACCCAGGACAACAACAAATAGAGAGGCCGCCCGGCAAGACAACTGATTTAATAACATAAGTCAGCTGTTCCGAGTCCTGGCCTCTCCCAAATCTGCCGCTCCGAAAGCTCACAAAGGACGAAAGCTTTCGGGGAAGCGGGTCAACGCTGCGTATGCGTTACGTTTCACTTTCGTTGCCGACGAAGTAACTCAGCTTCTTCCATTTGGCGGCTGCTGCGACCCAATCAGACTTCGTTCCGTTTCGATTTCATTTTCAGTTCCCGTGCAAATCTCGAGGCGTCTGGTTGTGTGTCCGCTGGAAAATTCATCCAAAAAATTCGGCGCAAGTCGCGCGGTGATTTCGATTTATGTTACGGCTTCTGCTGCCCCAAAAAGTAGGCAACGTGAACTGTGCAAGAAAACCCCAGTCAAGTCGTGTGTATCGGTGTTTAAAGCTTTAACTTGACTGAGGCTAAAGTTTTTATGAATGAACCGCTCAGTCGGCCGCGGGTTGCGTTAATTCTGAGCGATGAGCACGCGTTTTCACTTCTTTTCTTTGGAATCAATGAGGATGCCCAATGATATGAAAGCAATATAAAACGCATTTTGGAAACAACGCATCAATGTGTCTGCTCTAAGAATTGATAGGCAGATGTCACACACAAAGACATCAGTGTTATGGAATAAAAAGTTAAGAGTAAAAAGTCAATAAAATATTTTTATCATCTTATTAAATTTTTAAAGTCATTTACTTACCAGGCGGATCTCATATAGGGTTTTTTTTTGTATCATTCTCTTAGTATTCCTTTGGTTTTCACATTTCTAAGCTTAATAATTTATTTAAGTGAGAAGTTAACAATGTGAAATATAACTGTTTTAATCGCTACATAAATAGAGCCTTTTTAAAAAGTCTTTAAATTAGACCTATTTTAGATTATATCACTTTTTGGAAGACCTTTTAAAAATATAATAATCAAAGTGTTGTGAAATCCTTGAAAAGGTTACTCCATAAGTTTTATTTTTCAATTTTTGCCACACCGTGACTTAATTCAACTCACGTGCTAGTCCTTTTTGGAGCAGCTCAACAGTAAGCCCCAATGACTCGGAATGATTAAAAAGCTTCCTAGGCCGTCGCTCAAAAGCGGGATATTTATTCGAGAATGCGTCTCTGATGAAACCCGCAAAGTGTCACCGTTGCTTGTTGTTGTTGTTGTTGACTCTGCTAATACGTGATCAGATCACACAACAAACCGCAACACCGGCAGCAACAACAACAACAACAACAACCTGAGAATGGAGGGAAATACCTTTCCATGCTCCTTCAACTTTGGCGTCGCCATGGTTGCCATTAAAGATGACACACGCCAGCCGGCTGACGCCTGCTTAAATTACGAGCACTCTTTAGGCATTCCGATATCAATTCCACCATGGTCGCCATCGCTCATACGCACCGTGTGCCGGCCAAGCGCCCCGCCGCCACCTCCGCCCCCGCTGGGCTTAATTGCCGAATATTTGTGTGCGGCACAACAAAGGCGTTTCAGCCAAAGAAGAAGAGAAAAAACAATCGTTTACATATTTCAGTAAAGCTTGTGGCAGCCATGAAGATGATGCTCAAAAATAAATGAGCCTAGGAGTTTAAAATATCAAGAAGCCAGTTGCTGGAACTCTGGTAAAGTGAAATGGTCGAAGCGTTTTAATTGCCTCCGGTAGAAAGGATTTCCTACTCTCCAAAAGTGTGTGCGTGTGCGTTCGGGTGAAGTGTGCGTTTCTCGGAGCCGGGCAAAGGACCTCAACCAGGACAAATCTTCTGCCAGACAAGCCTTTTCGTCTGTCACCAAAGCGGCTTAAAGTTCCTGGATTCAGTACGCAGCGTCTAAACCAAAGCGACGCACACCAATACATCAGCGCCTGTTGTGTGAGTATGCTTTGAAATTGTAGGCCCATTGCTTACGTTACGTGTAGGCCATTTATACACAAGCAGGCATTGTTGACTGCAAAGTCAGAAAAGTCAGTTAAGCACTCCAACACCGTAAGAAAGGTATTGGATCAAAATTAAGTTTTCACAAGTAAAATAAATGCAATGGTTTAGTGGCAGTGTGTACTGGGTTTTAAACCACAATTTACAAGATATTACAACAATAAAGTGTATAACTATTACGTAAGAAACCCAGTAGCTTAAATATATAATTATAATTTAAGAATTAAGCAGTATACAAACGAAAAATACCATTGTAAACTGTAAAAATGCTTGTAAAAATACTTTCTTGTATTCCAACTTTTATGATATCAAGAAAGGAAGCAAACTTGGACTTTATATACCATGTCGGCTATTGCAAAAGTAAAAACATCTTTAAAACATCTAAATTTTGAATTATGTGAGTACCAAATAAGTCCCATTGATGATTTCCAGCCCAATTATTCGAGGGTTCCTATGGCAACTATATGATATTGATTTCCGATTGGAATAAAATTAAATGCGTAATTCTGAATTATTTAACCATTTATATTTTATATGTTATATAGAAGCTTACATTTTTAGTTAATATATTTTATTAATATTCCGATTGTTCCCATGGGAACTATAAGATATAGTCGTCCGATGTTGACCAAATTTAAGCCGTAATTTCAAAAAAATAAACCATTACCAATATCCAATTCGTGTTTTATTCTTGATTGTTCCCTATGGGAGCTATATGCTATAGTCACCCGATCCGGCTCGTTCCGACAACTTTTGGGAAAGTTTCATGCAGATAGCTTTAAAACAAAGAGACAAGTTTGCATAGAAACTGACGGACAGACAGTGATGCTGATTAAGAACATATATACTTATATACATATGTTTCAAGCTTGGTTTTTGTTTTTGCAGCTGATTGTTTTCCAAAAAAAATCAGCTTGTTATGGTAATTTCTTGTTCGTCAAAAGTATAAAACTTGACAAAAAAATAAAAAATAAAATAAAATCGATAAAGCGTAATAAACAAGGCTTGGTCAAGCAAGCTATGCGCGAAAACTAAAGCGCCAAAGTCACACAAAAGTCAGACAGACACATTTTTTACAAATAACAAATGGGGTATCCTTGAAACCGATTATTTCGATAAACTTTCTCCAGATGAACAAACAATGAAATTGAAAGCTTAACATATGTATGTAAAACTTTTTGAGGACGAAATGCCTGTGATTTGCATGTCACTTGGCAGTTAATAGAAAATGAAGCCCTACAAATTGAATGGAAAGCTTTAAAGGTGCCAGAGTATCAACAAATATGAGAAAATTGATTCTAATTTTGAATGTGCGTCCGTTGAGTATAATCTATTGGGCTTAGCCATGCCAAAAAGCCTTTTGTGTAACCTTCGCATAACCTTGGAGCACGCTTTCTTAAAAACTATCCCTTCAAGGAACGCGCTTCTCAAATCGTTTGAACAATGCCATTTGGTCTTATCTATTAGCCCAGTTCTCTGAATTTTATCTTTTCACCCACGCAGCTTTTCCCAAGGCCAAGTGTTTAAATTAACCAGCATCATGTATTCTGCCAATTCATTCTAGTTTTGCTTTCAGTCTTCTGTTAAGTACGCCGCACTTCTTAAAAGAACTTAAGCTGCCCCTAGTATCTACTTTCATCCGCCTGCTACTTGTTTGTTCACAAACTTTGCAAGTTGTAGCATAGGCGACATAAATCTAAGCACATACACAAATACTTTGCTACAAGAATATATACAAGGCCTATCCTGAAAAAAAAGTTCCCTGGAAGGACACTTTTTGTTCTGAAAATTTTCGGTGGCTCCTCAAGTTGGAGCGCTTTACGAGAGGCTGTCAAAAAGCCAAGTGAGACGTTTGTGCTTATAGTCTTTACAACTTCCGCCTTATGGCTTCAACCAAAACATTTTGCATGGCTGCTTCCCAAAGTATGCAACAGGATGATGAGCTTTAACAAGTTTTCACGATAGCAAAATCACATAGGCAAATTGCAGCACATGGTGGTTATATTCACCTCGTTTAAGCCTTATCTGTTAAATGACATTGAGTGCATATTTGTTTCTTACAACTTCTTCAAAAGAATACTTAAGCAGCATTAATTTTCATCGAGTTTAAGTCGTTTTATACTCTTCAGGAGCTACTCTCGTTTACTTTCTCATACAATAGCTCCAGAACAAACACTTAGGGATAAGTTGAATTTTTTTATTGTTTGTTTTTGCATAGGCATACATAAATTTACTTTTGTAAGTTGCCTTTCCTAAAACTCATTTATAAATACATATTTAAAAAGATTTAAATTAGTAATCATTAATAAATCATCATCACTTATTGAACGAAGTAGTTTTTTACCTTTGCAGCTATGATGATTTTCTGCTAAATCAAAACCGTTGTTCTGAAACGAGTTTAATAAAATTAATACCTTAAACCTCAAATATTTAACCATTACAAATAAATCAAATATTAACAAAAAAAACCTATTAAGAAAAAAAGGCGAACTGATTGCTAACTTTGTTTGCACGAAAATACAATCATATTTCGTCAAAAAATTGACCTTAATAAGAGATGCCTTTGTTTATAATTGATTGGGTGCAATGGTGTGGGAAAAATAATACAAAACAAAGATTTGGTAATTCAAACTAAAGATACAATACACATCAAGACCACCATGCCACAATGCCGAGTGTGAAGTACAGAAATCACTGCGACATTGTGTTTTGCGCATGCTATGCTATTGTTCTTCTAGTCAAGGTTTTGACAAAAGGTTAACCAAATCTCGTGTTTGCGGCAGCAAAAAGGCGGAAAACTTTCAGCCAGGAAATGAGTGTTGCACACAGTAGTGATTTTTGCGAGTCAATATGTTTGGGTATAAAGTATGTATGGTTATTTTATGCAACTCCGTTATTTCATTTATCACTGGTATACCCAATCATAGGTGTTTCCCGACCTTCTGTTGTGGTAGCCACATAAAAGGTTTTCCAACGGTACAGGCAATTAACGCGAAAAAGCATCTCTTTTATACCAAGCTTTTGTGGAAAATTAAAGGGGAAGGTCGAAACATGTCGAGTCTTTAGTACTCTTCATGCAGTATTTCGGCTTGTCCTAATAAAGAAACACGACTATATACCAGCTTAAAGCCTCTGAAAGGTATGTTGTTTTTCACCCGTAAAGTATACTGTATGTATGAAATCAAAAAATATATGGAAATATAAAAATTTATATAAGTATTTTTTTAATCACTGCTCTCGACTGTATAAATATTTTCTGCTTGTTGAGTTCAGTTGGTTGAGTTAAAAGAAACTCATTAATGTAATTATAAGGCTCCGTGGACTGCTACTAAAATGATGGGTGTTACCCAACCATTCAGGTTAACCGCCTTTCATTTGACCAAAGCGGCTTTTCAAATAATTTATATTAAATTTTACTTTTTCCGTTCGGTTATTAAAATTTGTTTTCCTCTAAACAAATTATTGTGTTTTCTTAGGGGCTTTTAGCTCCGTTTAAATATTTAATTGTATGCTTATAAGCTGCCAACGCATTTGGATTTCCCTTAATATTTATAATTGTATGCCAACTTTTTTTTCTACCATAACAATGATTTATACCTTCGGGAATTAGGGGTTTTATACGGAAATATTGATATTGTTTAATTTTGTTTCTCAATAATGAATTGAATTTTCAGTCTTTTTTTGTTTTTTCCACATGCTTGAAATCGTTCGAAATGCTTTTGCTATCGTTTATTTACGGGTCTTTATTTGCATGAATTATGTATTTTTTTAGGTATTTAGGGCTTATGCAAAGCGGATTCAATTATTACGTATTTCATATTTGATTGTTTTTATTTTGCTCATTAAAAGGGAATAATGAAAAAAATTGCTGGCTTTGGGAAAATTAATGTTACTCAAATTGAGGTAATACTAAACAAAATCAAGGGGAAAACGGAATGCCTTTAGTATACAGTAAAACGTGATTTGCAAGATCCTAATTGAATAAATTATAAAATTGATATTCTTGCTTAGATTGATTGCTTTGGAAAAAAATGTTCTTATACAAATTAGTAAATCGGATCTCATAGTCGTCATTAAAACAATTACACCATTTACTGCTGCTTTGCGAAATGTTTTAAGCAGAGAAATGAATATGTAACGTAGGAACAACTTAATTTTTAATCTCTCGTTTAATAAATGGATAGCCAGGTTGGCTTTTACCTTTATTTAATAATAACCGCGTTTTAAAACTTATGCAAACAGCGGATTAATTTATCCATGTGTATATATGTGTATTTCAACCTACTTACTTTTTGTATATATAGTTAGATATATAAACTATTTTTTGTTTAAGTCGCTTCTATCAACGACTGACCTAGTTTTTATTGCACTCTCATTTTTTACATACTTTCACGGAGGGCCGCTATTTCGTCTGCAACAGTTTTATCCATTTGTTTGCACTGTGGTTCCCCACTAAAATGTTGACTTTTCCCAGTCAAAGGGAGAGCGAAAAATCGAAAATTGTTTGCTATTTTGCTGACCCACATATCCGTTTCATATTCGACACCATACACCATACACCATACACCATACACCATTCTGCGTATAATTCGCCGCCACGCATTGTAGTGCCGAGCACATTTGTTTACTTCCCTCGCACTGCAATCTGCTTTAATGCCATATTAAGGCGAGCTGAATGGAATTGAAAACAGAAAAAAGGAGACTCTAAGCGGCGCACATGCACACATGAATGCGTAAGCAGGCAACGGAAGACAGGACGCTGGCAATGCGGAAAACTGGGGAAAGTGGAACGGAAGCAGAACAAAATTGTTTAAAAATAAAATCACGCTGTAAATAGACAAAAGAAAAGGGTAGCGAGCAAAACAAATCTAAAAATAAAAAAACAACTACAAATTCTAATGGAGTCTTAGTTGAAATTTGGAATGCGTTGAAGTGCA